AATTTTCAATTTTATGCACAATGTATATACAACAAATTTAAAACTGATTTTGTATTTCAACTAAATTTACTGGATAGTTCATCAAAGAAGATATTTTTCTCTTTGTCACACAACAATAATGCACTTCATTAAACTTAGAATAAGTTGAGGAAAGTCTAAAATACCAAAAAAAAATTTACGCTCTCTTGTGGATTCTTTAACAAATTTCATAAAATTAGATATACATTGTGCATAAAATTGAAAATTATACGCTATGTTTAGTATTATATATGGCCAAGTCAAAACGTACTGCTACTGTTCTGAGATAATGAAATCAAATTTATAAGGTATCTGCTTTTCTCCGAATGTGTCGTAGTGCTGCCTTTATTGGCGGTTTTTGAGAAATCGCCCTTTCAAAAACGATATTTTTTTGAAATTCCGAAAAAAATCCACAAGAGGACGTAAAATAATTTTTTTGGTATTTTAAGATTTGCCACTTATTCCAAGTTTAATGAACGTACAGTTTTGATGTATGACCAAGAGAGAAAAGTATTTGATGAATTATCCAGTAAATTTAGTTGAAATACCAAACCGTTTTCAAATATGTTACATCTACATAGTTGATAAAATTGAAAATTATATGCTATGTTTGGTATCATATATGGCCAAGTTAAAACGTGCTGCTACTGTTCTGACATATTAAAATTGAAGTTATAGGGTATCTGCTTTCTCCAAATGTGTCGTAGTGCTGCCTTTATTAGCGGTTTTTGAGAAATCGCTATTTCAAAAACGATAATTTTTTAAAAATTTGAAAAATAATCAAAAAGAAGGCGTAAAATAATTTTTTGTTATTTCATACTTTCCGCAACTCATTCCAAGTTTAATGGACGTACAGTATATATGTATGTCTGAGAGAAAAAGATGTTTGATAAATTATCTACTAAATTTTGTTGAAAAACCAAACCATTTTTAAATATGTTACGTCTGCATTGTTTATAAAATTTTGAATACACGCTATGTTTGGTATTATATTTGGCCAAGTCAAAACGTGCTGCTACTGTTCTGACATAATGAAATCAAATCTATAAGGTATGCTTTTCTCCGAATGTGTCGTAGTGCTGCCTTTATTGGCGGTTTTTGAGAAATCGCTCTTTCAAAAACGATAATTTTGTGAAATTTGTTAAAGAATCCACAAGAGAGCGTAAATTTTTTTTTGGTATTTTAGACTTTCCTCAACTTATTCTAAGTTTAATGAAGTGCATTATTGTTGTGTGACAAAGAGAAAAATATCTTCTTTGATGAACTATCCAGTAAATTTAGTTGAAATACAAAATCAGTTTTAAATTTGTTGTATATACATTGTGCATAAAATTAAAAATTATACGCTATGTTTAGTATTATATATCGCCTAGTCAAAACGTGCTGAGACAGTTCTGACATAATGAAATCGAATCTTTGCGGTTTCTACTTTTCACCAATGGTGTTGCAAATTGCAATGCTGCCTTTATTGGAGGTTTTCATGAAACGACCGTCTTAAACGACGAAAATTCAGTCATTTTTAAACAACTCTCAAAATGGTATAAAAATTTTTTATGCACTGTACCAGTCGCTTTAGCTTGTTTACTATATATTAACAATACGAGTAGTGTAGTTAATGATTGTTTTGCTTTATTTGCTATTGTAAAACTAATCAAAATATACACTTTCTTTTAAAAATCATTGGGAACATTTAATTTTACGCGTGGGTATTTTTCTGCGATTCTGTCAGTCACAATTTCGTGTTTTGCTGCTAGCTTCACAGAGGTCACAAGCGCTTATAACGTTTCCAATGCAAGTCCTCACTTGTGTTATAGTCACTTTGGCTCGTGGTAGGAGGCTGGGAGCTGCCACGAAGTGGTAAGAACTGTGACTCGGCGCAGATGCCATTTCAGGAGATCGTACCTGTACTTTGACAAGCTAACGCTAACGTACGTTACCCTATTATCGCCACTCGCCAATTTTCACCACACGCCTTCAGAATCGCCCTGCTGCAGTCGCACTTTCAGATAGCGCTGAATATGAGTTGTTTTCGGATTGCGACGTCATAAGTGATAAATATTAAACATATTCTGTCAACCGGTGGCGTAAAGACATGTCAATAAAAACATACATTTTTGTAAATCAGCTGATATCACGCTCGGCCAACTTTTTGGGAGGGCGGTAATTACTAATTAGCAGCCCAAAATATCGCGACAGTGTTTATTTATTTTAGTTTTCGTCAGTCAGTGTTAGATCGACGTTGAATCAAGTTTGAAATGGGAAGTGCTTGTAAATATCGTGCTGTTGTTAATTATTGTATCCGCAGGGTGGCGATAATAGGATAAAAAAAAATTTGGCTCGCCAAAAGGGAGAACTGGAAAAATCGTGAAAAAACAAAACAGCAATGCTCAATAATGTGAGGACAAACACTAAAAAGAAGTGTTATCAAATCTTTCACAGTAACGGTAATCTCATTTAATAAAAAAAACTTTCGCTGGCCGCCAGATCGCCTAAATGTGATCGCAGAACCACCATGCTACGATGCGCATTTTTTAATTTTGATGACGTCATCATATAAAATTTCGAAGTGAAAAACAAATTTCCTAAGGCCTACATAAATGTTTGAAATAAATAAAAGTAATAACCTTCTAGCAGCAGCAACACTGTTCAATCATTGAAAATTTCATAGCAAATGATTATGTATTTAAAGAGAAAAGCTATTGAAAAAAAAGTTTGACATGAGTGGCGATAATAGGACAATCGTAGTTCCTATTATCACCATACCCACATTTCCACCATTTCGTGAGGTGTCGCTATAGCAAATCCATTTCGCGACTCGCTGCTGTTGGCATTTTGGGTCTAGTATAGTTTAGTACCACAAGTACTTCCGGTGGGCGTAGCACAACGAATTTTGCATATGCTATTCCTAACCCCCACCTGATTATGCCATCCAAAAATTACGTCACCAAGACGTCACCACACGTCATAGGGATTGCCAGAGTATAATTACGATCGCCCGAAATGACATCTGCGCCGCTGATAACGAACTTGCTAAAGCCGGCGATCTCTCTCCTATAGTGATCGTTGTGACGAGAAAACGAGAGAAATTGCTTGCTCGATTTCGGGTGATCGTCTGCGCGTTTTGGACGACCATCCGCATAATTCGGTGGGCCTTATTACGCCACGGTGACGTCGAAATGACGTAATTTTTCGGTGACGTAGTCAGGTGGGGGTTAGGATTGACATATGCAAAAATTGTTGAGCCAGGTCAACTAGAAGTACATGTGGTACTAAACTATACCAAACCCGGCATTTTTTCCTCCGATCGGTAGCTAATGTTCAGAGACAATATAGAGAAATTATAACCAGAAGTAGATAGACTTCGGATGGATTGTAATAAAAAGTGGCGATAATAGGGTAACGTACGTTATATGAAGCGATTGTGATGTACGGTAATCTTTGCAGTGAGGTAGTCAGATGGGGGTTAGAAATAAAATATGCAAAAATAGTTATGACAAGCCCGCTAGAAGTTACGGTATTGTGGTTGTGGTACGGAACTACACAAGACCCAAAACATCAAAATCTGAAAATAGGGACAATCCAAAAATTGCTGCACAGTACCGGTATAATATTTACATTGCTCACAAAATTAGTTCGGAGGCACTAATTGCTGAATTGATTGTTCTGATATATTTGACATTGTTTACCTCCTAATATTTTATAAATTCTGAGCTGGAAAATTGGATTGACAATGAAAATGGGGTCTCGTGTAGTTTTGTACCTAACGTACTTCTAGTAAGCGTAGCCTAAAAAAATTTTGACACGCCAATCCTGACTCTCACCTGACTACGCCATCCAAAAATTTCGTCACTACGACATCACAATCAGGTCATAGAGCTTGCCAAATACTCCTCCTCCTCTTATCGGGTTCGTTGCGACGAGAAACCGAGAGAAATGGCTGTTCGATTTCGGGTTCTCGTCTGCGCGTCTTGGATGACAGTTCGCATAATTTGAAGGGCTCTATTATGTCATTGTGACGTCGTAGTGACGTAAGTTTTGAATGGTGTGGTCGGGTGGGGGTTAGGATTGACACGTAAAAAAATTGTTATGCTACGCCCACCAGAAGTATGTTAGGTACGAAACTACATGAAACCCTGAAAATGCACTATCAGACTATTTTGTTTTTACGGCTTCCTCCACCACCAAGTCCATGCTTCCGAAAACAAACAATATAACTAATCCCATACCCGACTTGGAATGGTAACCGGACGAGAGGCCGTGGTTCGCCATATGGATAAGCCGTGTTATCGACTTTCCTCTCCCCCGGGATAAATATGTAAATCCTATCTGATCCTTATAAACATTGAAAAGCATAAGCATTTATTTCTGTATTTTGTTAGTGCAGTAGTTGTTGAGTGGGTATCAGACTTATGGTATTGGTAAATCTAGTCTAAATCATTGATAATATCAATTGTGGAAGGTCATCCATGTAAAAATTTAGAAATACTGATATTGAATAGGATATGATAAAGTTTATTTATGGTCGATTTTTTTCCCCAGAAGACAACTTGAGCATAATTTGTGTTCTATAATTTGTATTCTATAATGTATTTGACACGACTGTTATTTGATTTTGTACTGTCATGTTGTAATTTGCCTTCGTTCTTTTTAAAAACCTAGCGGCAATCATTGTGTGGCTCGTGCACTGAATATTTAAATCAATTCACATGAAGTATTAACTATAGTACAAGGCCAACCAAGTTAAGCAATCTAAGTAAAATACAATCTAAAGAACAAGAACGAAACAGTTAAAACATGCAATGAAATATAATGTAATGTTCATCTCCACCCTCCGGCAGAGGCGCAGAGTCTTTCAAATTAAGAAATGTTTTGTTCAGTTCAGTTAACATTATAGTTCTCCTCAAGTCGTCCTGGCTTGTTGTAGGGCTGTAACCTCTGAAGCGCCCTAGGCAATCTTGGAGCTCTGCTGGTTAGCGATGGGCTCACATGATGACTTGGTTGTATTTCCACCGGAGTGTCTTGAGTAGTTCCTGCATTATGACTCCCAGAGTTTCCAATGTCTTCATCTCTCTCTCCGCTGGGGGGAATTGTTGGTGAGAATGGCATGATCGGCGGAGGTTGAATGATGATGCAAGGTCGTATAAATCGTCTGTTTGTATAGTCACTCTTCCCGAGCCATCTACTCTGATTTTGTATTGTCTGTAAGGTAGGATTTCTACAATTCGACCAGTCCTGTTCCAGTGTCGTGGCTTGTTTGGGACTTGTGATTGTATAACGACTGTTGTCCCAACTGACAGTGGAGGGAGTTGTCTCGATGTGTTGTTATATTTGTCGATAATGATGTGATGGCGGTTAGCTAGTTTCTGCTCACGTTCCCCTGCAGATATAATCCATTGTGGATGGGGACCGTAATGCTGTGGATTTGTAGGAACGTGATCCCGCAGTTGTCTATGCAGAAGTATCTGAGCTGGGCTGAGATCAATGTTTTGCAGAGGAGTGTTCCTGTATTGTAGGATTGCCTGTGCTGCCTTATTATTATTCAGAGAACCGTCAGGTGATGTGCTATCACGAATGATCCTCTTGGCAGTTTTAACTCCGAGCTCTGCCCGTCCATTAGATTGTGGGTAAGATGCTGAGGACTTTCGATGCTTTATTCCCCAATCAGTTAAAAAGTTCTGGAATTCGGATGAGGTGAATTGAGGTCCACCGTCTGAGTCAAATTCTTCTGGTGCTCCATAGGATGTGAATAACCCACGACATGAGTTGATGAGCTCTTTAGTGATTGATCGATGTGGTGGGTAATGAAAAATACTGATCCAACCACTGAATCTGTCTACAACAGATAGGTAGCAGTGGTTCCCCAGTACAAAGTAGTCGGCGCATATGTGTTGAAAGGGATACTGTGGCGCCGGGCTCGATATCATTGGCTCTTTAGTTTGAGATGGAGCGTATTTCGTGCATGTGAGGCATCCAAATCGAAAGTTTCGGATCATGGCGTTCATGCCCGGCCAATAGACTGATTGGTTTGCTCTTGCTTTCATGCCTGTGATCCCTTGATGCGCAGAGTGTAGTGACCTCAGTATGGTCTTGCGAAGGGGAGTGGGAATAACTATGCGAGAGTCCATTAGTATTACATTGTCTTTAGTTGATAGGCGATCTCTCACACCCCAATAATCCCGGATTTCAGGCGGTGTCCCATGTCTTGTGTTAGGGAATCCATTCTCAATTGTTTTGATGAGTATGTTGTAGCTTTTGTCAGACTTTCCATGGCTTCTAATGTGATCCAGGGTCACAAGCGCATCGTCATCATTTATTGAGTTGATGACAGATTGTTGAATTGCGTGAACACGAGCTTCGCACTGCTCTGTTGTTGTTACTTCATCAGATGATGGGTCATTTCGTGCTATGTCCATCACTGCATTTTTCGTATCTGTTATTTCCAAGGCTGTGGGATTGCGTGATAAAGCATCGGGTGCTTTGTGCCATTTCCCTGGGCAATGCTGCATTGTGAATCTATATCGCAGGGTGTGTTCTTTCAAGTTTTGTATTCGAGGATTTTTAATACTATCCAGGTCTCGATCTTTAAAGATTCCCAATAAGGGTTTGTGGTCAGTGGACACAATGAGGTTTTGGCAACCTAAGGTAAACATTCGTGCGTGTTGTAAGGCCCAGGATACTGCTAATGCTTCTCCTTCAGTGGGTGAGTATCGACTTTCTGTTGGCGTGGTGAACCTGGAGTTGGCATAAACCAAATGCCAACCATCTTTGCAGCAAATAGGAACTTTATCGATCGAGCAATCACAGTATTTTGAAGAAGAACGTATCCGATCCCATCTTTGCTCCAGTCACATTGGAGGCAAGTTGCACGTTTTGTGTCAAAGGAACGTATGCCCTGTTTAACTGTCTCACACAGTAATTGTTTTGATGTTTCAAATATTTTTTCCAAAGCTTCATCCCAGTAAAATTTTGAGTTTGGCTTTATGAGTTCACGAAAAGGTAACATTATTTCACTTATTGAATAAGCCCATGAAACTTGATTAACTAAACCAAACCAAGATCTGGCTCCAGTGATGTCTTTAGGGACTGGGAAATCTCTAATTGCTTTGAGAAGTTCTGCTGATGGTGTTATGCCATCTGGTGTTATGTTGTATCCTGCGAATGAGATTGTGTCTCTGCAAAATTTAAATTTCTTTGAATTCAGTACAATGCCATTTGTTGCGCATGTTGCTAGGTAATCCCAAGTGTGGAAGAAGGCTTCTTCTATATTTGTATCATATAGTAGCGTGTCGTCAACGCATTTTACTTTGCGAGGTGTATTGTTTATAATATCATCATAACGTCTTGTGTATGCATCTCCAGCTGCAATGAATCCTGAGGCATTCGTTTGTACATGTATCTTCCCCATTCAGTTATGAAAGTCGTTAAATGCTGACTTTCCTCATCCAGTTCTATGGCGTGATATCCATCTTACAGCATCCAGTACGGTCTTTTTAGTTTTAGGAGGTATTCTGACATGCCAGTTGAAATGGTGTCTGACAATGATGAGTTTCTCTCAATGACTGGGAGTTTAGGTGCTGGAGGTCTATAGTACGTCTGGGTGTGCCATCCTTCTTTGCAATTGTTACCATTCTGCTGCACCATTCAACTGGTTGCCCTACAGGGACAGGTTCTATAATACCCCTTTCTACATCTCTGTCTAGACTGGATTTCACTGCTTCTTTCCAGTGGTATGGTACTGGAATAGGAGTATGATGTGCAAATGGTTGAGCATCAGACTTTAGGTGAATGTGGGCTGGGGGTGCATTCATTTTTGGAAATGGTGTGACATTGTTAAATGCAAGTGTTTGCAAATTCCGCCAATAAGTACTTTTCCAGTCGGGGACGTCGTGTCCATTGGTGGGAATGGCAAATTTCTTGGTCGTTTTGGTAATTGGCCCAATGAATTCTCACTAGTGGGGATGTCTGCTGTGCTAATTTTTGCCACGTTTGCTTCCATTTCCATAGGTAAGGAAATGCTTCAGAAAGGATTCTGGTATCAATGCAGCCTTGGCGACTGAAGTACATACGATCCACTTTGTTACAAATGTAAACTTGTTGTGTGGTAGAGTGTCCACCAATTACAAATTTGACCGGCAGCCAGCCGAAGCAAGTCAGTGTTGATCCTCCAACTGCCGTCACTATCTTATGACATTTAAGCAACTGATTTTGTTTGATTTGCATGCTCTGCAAATGCTTTGGGCCAGCTAAGCAAATGTTTGCTCCACTATCTGGGAATATTAGTACCGTGCATGGTTTCGAGTTGCGATTCTGAGGAAATGGATGTACTGTTGCTTGAATTTCATCCATTCCATGTTTTCCTGTAGTAAAGCAGTGACGTTTTTTGTTATAACGTACATGAGCTAGTAGGGCATTAGCTTCTGCTTGTGGTTGGTTTTTCTGGGGCTGATTCACCTGTCGGCAAACTCGAGCAAAGTGATTGAGCTGTTTACAGTTGGTGCAAGTTTTCCCCCAGGCAGGACATTTTGTTGAACGGTTCCTTGAACCTGGAAATCCGTGAGATAGACTTCCACAACCTGCGCATGGTCTTTGCGATTCGCGGGTGTTTGGTGTTTGTTTGTTGTAAGTTTGTGCCGCATATACTTCTGCGGTTTTCTGAAGTTTTGATTGGTCTCTTACAGCGGTTTCAAAGGCTTCTGAATGTTTGATAACATCTTCTAAAGTCTTAAATTGGTTGGCCTTGGCGAGCAATTCAGTCTGGAGGCTTGTGCTATGGACACCTCTGATGAATTGATCTCGAACGTGGTGTGACGATAGGTTGTGTTTGCATTGAGGACAAGAAAATTCACAGTCCACTGCTACTGACTTCAGTCTGGTGATGAATTCCTGAATAGATTCTGTTTCTGTTTGAATTATTGCACCAAAGTTCATGCGATGAACTGTGGGGTTTGAACGTTGTGTAACAATTGTTTCAATTGCTTTAAGAATATCCTCTTCATCGAGACTGAAAAAGTCCGTTACTGTGTTGATTATGCTTGTTTGAACTTGCTTCATCGCACATGTTGTATAACTGGGAACTGTATTGTTCATTCAGAAAGTCTTGTCATTTTCTTAAACACTTCCCAATCTGTTTTGAATTTTCGAAATTGAGGTCGTGTCATGTTTATTTCTATCCGCGGCATTCTGGGTGGAGGAGGCTTTATGATATTAGAGTCATTTCTTGGTGCATCTATTGTTTGTTGTGTGTGGGCTTCGAGTGTCATTTTGCTTTGCTGTGGCTGAGGATGGCTAAAATATCCCCAACAGCTTGGATACCCAAATCAGACAAATCTGTTTTAGATAGATTAGGAAGTGTGACTTCAGTTATACGGTTTTCCATGAATTTTCTAGAATATATTGATGCTTCCTCCGCAGGTATTTCAGCTGATATGAAAAAATCTCTCCAACTGTCTTCTGTTCGCAGCGCCATATTTAAATCAATTCACATGAAGTATTAACTATAGTACAAGGCCAACCAAGTTAAGCAATCTAAGTAAAATACAATCTAAAGAACAAGAACGAAACAGTTAAAACATGCAATGAAATATAATGTAATGTTCACTGAACACTCCCTATTTATGGCCGATATCGCTACTTCGAAATAAAAATTGTGACTACGGGATATGGGGCAAAGGCAATTATCGGTACTATCACAAGTAGTAACTCATGAAAGTGAAAGCGCTTTGGGGCATGTATTGAAAACAAATCGAAAAAGAGTTCGATGATGCGAGGAATTCGATATCGATAAGAATAAAGCGAGTATGGATGCTTAATTAACGAAATGAGAAAAAAGTACCAATACAAACTTTTTGCCTCAGCCTATTGGGAGTTAATATTGAAAAAGCCTCTTTTTAATAAGTGCTAAAAATTGGCCTTTACTTCTTTGCCAAGTCGGCTTATTACTGTATTAGCAGGAAAATTGAATAATTGTTTGTCTGCTTAAATTATGTAGCCTATAGTATACCTGTATACCCGCTGTGATGAACAATAGATTATCAATTATTACCAGATATCATACTTAGTTTTATATAAATACTTATATGTTGTATTACTATTTCATTTTTTCTACAATTATTTGGAATTTAATACATGTTATGATTTTTCAACTTTGAACATTCAGCTTTTTCTTCTTTGCAGAAGTTATTGATATAAACCCTAAAAATATAAACAGTTACCCAAGAAAAACTATTCCTGGAAATAAAACTATAGATTCGAATCTTGGAGCTTGCTCCTCTTTTTGAATTATCTTCGCAATTTTTGGATAGTCTTATTCACAAATACCTTTGCAACAACTAGAGAAACGTCAACAACAGCGTTGAAGCACTGTGTGTAGGGGAGCACAGTGCCGGATATTCAATTCAACTTTGGCATTCACTGGTTATGTGGGATCGATCCAGTGAAATTTTTAACCTAAAGCATAATACATGTTGGATTGGACATCGGAGTGATTTGCCAATATCCTTTTTACCAAAATCTGCAATTCAAGCCCACGAGTTACCAAATTGGACTTCTATCTCTAATTCACTCTTAGAAAGAAACAGTGGATCAGACAATCAAACGGATAAAATATCAACATTTGTTTATCCCATAATCTATTGCCCGACTGCGTCTACAAGTTCTGCTTATGGTCGTTTTCTGGCTTTGTATGGTCGTTATTCAAGATTTGCTGCTTCTAAACCAGCTCGAGAACCATTTCAAGACTCTGACGATTCTCGATTGAGTATTATTGACAATCTACTGGAGTATCCTCTTACTCAAAAACAGCAAGCTATTCGCAAGTTGAGACATCTTCATCAATCCGACAGAAAAATTAGCATCAGAAATACACGCAGGTTGAATATAGTTATATGTTTGTCGTTGTATTGTGTATACCGTGAGCACTAGATTGCACCATGGAAATTTTTATAATGAGAAATAACTGGAAAACATTGTTCTAGTTTTAATTAATGAGATGTGATGCATTCTCCTTAAATTTTAAATATCTTCACATTTTCGTATTCTGAATTCAGAATTATATTGTTATTTGTTTAGATATTATCTGGTAACTTTCATCAAATTTAATAATTCTTTGCACAGGGGAAGTGTTTCTAGCAAAACACTAGATCACCTTTTGTCGAATCTAAATCTGAATGAACTCAGTTTATCAGCTGTCCATGTTGCAATGGGTTTGGATGGATCTGCACAGAAAATTACTCCAAAAAAGGAGGCTTACTATCGACAGATATTCGACATTTTGGATGTTGATAATGATGGAAAAGTAGATGTTACAGAATTAAAACAAGCTTACAGTGAAATGGGTTTGTTACAAGTTCCAGGTCAGGCCGAGGTATTGATGCTTATTAATTACGATGAATAATCAATACTTTATTTTCGGCATATTGAAAATATTTTTCATTCAAATTGCTATTGAATTTTATGACATATTTCCATACTATGAAGCAATCTTTCTGAAATTCTAAGGTTTTGATAACTGTAATAGATTTTTTTTAAATTTCCTGCAATACTTTCCGTATTTCCTACGATTTTGTGTAAGTTCAACAAGGTTTAGGGCAAGAGGACATGCTTTAATTAAGTGACTGAAATGATTTCATGTTATGATGTGGTTCACAATTTCATTAAACACATCAAAGCAACTTAGACAACCTTTTTTACCTAGAAATTCGTCACTGCCAGTGATTCTAACAAAGATGGTGAACTTGATGTTACAGAATTTGTAAAATACCTCCATGAACATGAGATGAAATTGAAGCTAATGTTCAAGAAGATTGATAGAGATAAAGATGGTAATAGTATAATAAATAATTCCATAATTTTAATAACAAACCCCTTTCCATTTATCATATTTCTTTCAAAATGGTATTTATAAGCACTTCCTGTATAACTGACCATCAGGAACCATTTCCTTTGGTTTATGAATTACTCTACACAGACAGGTGTTGATATGTATTCAAGTCACGAAAACTGAGATACACGTATCAATCATAACATTTTATAATGCTGTGTATAGCTGTAGCTGTAAATCCAGCCCATACAAAGAGTTTTGTTCTGATAGAAATAGTGCATTCTATTTTTTGGCTATTCTTCAAACTTCATATTTCTGAATATTCATTTGTATGTAAAAGCATTTTCGTGTTTTTTCATAAGTGTGTATTTTTATTCAGCCATTGTGTTGGGCTAGTTTTAAATATACAGAACTATCGAAAATCCATGAAAAATGGTTTGTTCCAATTATTCACAATTGGTATTTTTCAAACATGCACTACCCTATTCCTAGAAGTTCAGATACTCGTATTATAAAATTTTACTTTTGCCCAAACTACAATCTGTGTTATATTTATTTTCATTTAGGCAGAATATCACCATATGAAATGATTCAAGCACTGAAATCTGTAGGATTAACAATATCAGATGAGGAGGCAAATGCAGTAATGAAAAGGTAATATCTATTCAACATTCCTAATGGATATTCTTCTATATTTGAGCTGGATTTGTAAATGGATATGGAGCAAGTTAATGAAATATTATTTTTTTCAACTTGAACTGCGATCTTAATTGAATGCAGATCAATTCAAGACTCTTGTGCTATATATTATCTTTCATGAATGATCAATCATTTCTCACGGTTTCTTAATTAATTTGTAATCTAAATGAGAGCATTCAAAGACATTGTATTACCAAATGAATCTCGACATTCATTTATTAAAAATATAAGATTTGATATAATATATTGTTTGAACGAGATTGCGTAATGACTTTAGAATTAAATCAAAATTTGAATATTCGTTTTAATTGTTAATAGATGCTTCAGCGGGATTATCAATTTTGAAGTAGTTCCAATCGACCAATCGTCAATGAGATTTTGATCAAAGATTTGTACATCTTCCCACAGCTCATTCCATGTGGCATTCTTTTTAAAAAATTTTCGATTGTCAAATGATATCTATTTTTTCGAAACATTCAAAGTATTTGCGAAACACAAGTGATTGCACAAATTCCTCTAAACTAAATCGGCACCACAGTAGGTTATGTGTATTCAACTCACCTGTTCTAATAAATCCACTATCTAATAAATCCCCTAGCCAGAGTTCAATTATATGATTTGAAGATCACCTAGATTTTATTTTAAACAATTTGGACAGATTTTTGTTGGTGTTACTTGCATAGCTACATCAGTACTAGATTGTTTGCTAACTTCTACTGTACGTATCATCAATATGTTCATTAATGCTATTTGAATCATTTCAATATAATGTACTGTAATATATTTGACCATAAACATTTTTTATTATTTTATAGCAGCTTTTGTAAAGGTAATAACTAGTAAAATGTGTCATTAAATATTTTTGTTTGAATAAATTAGAAGGATATTTTACTCCATGTACCATGTTGTTATGTTTTAGAATGGATAAAGATGGAACATCATCAATAGATCTTGATGAATGGGTTGAACATCATTTACTACACCCTTCTACTGATATCAAAGATATCGTATTTTACTGGAGACATGCAACGGTAAATAATAAATTTATTGTTATTAAATTTACCCTCAAAAATGAAGGGCTAAGGCCAAGGGTTAAGCAAATTATTAAGAAACATGAAGTCAATATTTTGGCATCTAAAATATCATCTTTATTCCTATTCCTAATTAGTAGCATTTATGACATCATAATGACATATCACAGCATCTGATCTGAAAGTTACCTTTCAGTGCTGTTTGTGATGTCATAATTGTGACTTGGCCAATTTGTTCAGAATTGATTTAATTCACAAGTATATGTGATTGCTTGTCTATGACAGCATTGTACATGAGCTTATTGTCAATTCTTATTTGAAAAGCCTTTGGTTTTTATAAGCAAAGCTAAAAATGTGGGATTTTGTATCTAAACTATTTCGTTCAAATCCTCCACCTCCACCTCAAAAGGATTTTAAGCAACATGATAAGGTAAGTTGTGGATGATGATGTAAAAATGCAGCGTTTTCAGCTGTTTTCCCCATTTCTGTAGTTGGGTGTATGGCCAACTATTGTAGTTCTTTTTGATGAAATTCTTTGACGGCTGGAATTTTTTGCTTATGACCTTTATTTATGCTCTGTTTTGGAAGTGAAAGTGTTATTTATGTTTGTGGAAAATTTGAAAAATATTGATCAAATATTACAACACTCTTGAGAAATCTGTTTTTGCGAGAAATAAAATTTATAGTATTCAACTTCATAATATCAAAGAGAATTTAATTATGACAATAATGGGAAGCGGCAAACTTAACTCGCCATCTCATCTAACAAACCAACATATGGCTGGAATGAAGAAAATAATAATAATTATGATATAATAGCACCTACAAGAAATACTTTTTCTACCAGCACTATACATCATTTGAATTTAAATGGCAAACAAATATTCTTTTTATAAAAATTCCTAGTTTTTTTTTATCTAGAGCTACTGTTTATTATTATAATATTACTGTGGAATTTTATACGTCATTCATTACACATTGTTTCCAGTTTTTTTCTGTTGAATCAGTTTTCTTCTCGATTTATTGTGTTGGTATTCTTCAATTTAAAGCATGACTGTTATAATGCTATGTAACTACTAATGAGAAAATATGAATGATTCATGAGAGAATTTTGTTTGTCCCATGCTTGACTGATAATTTTATGGCTGGACAGGAATTTTCAATTATTGTCTGAGTTAATATTGACAGAGGTTTAGCCTATAATATAGGATATTGCTGGAGATAGAAATTAAATGGAGCCTATTTGTGTACCCCATTGTTACTTGTTACTAACAAGGTGGTCAGATAGTTTGGGGGCAATTCATGTGTAATGAAGATTATTTGTCATTCACAATATAATATTTGTTGTATGGTTTTAGCTTCAGTTATGTCAGAATGCTTAAATAATAGTAAACAGAATTTTCTGGATTAATTTAATTTACTTTCTCGTTTTCAGAAAAAAAATTTATGTGCAAGTATCCAATCATTGAAAAATTATAGGTTGCTGTTGTATTCTTTAGAAAATTTTACTATTATTTCATAAAAAATTGATATGATACTCCAGTTAGAATGCTCATTTGATAGGTTGAATTTGAGATATTTGATTGACAGTTTGACAATAATTCTGCCTACTCACATTGAACAAAAATTGATAGATGTAGTACAGCATATCTTTTAAAATATACCTTCAATAATAATATGTTCATGTACTATTATTAAAAGGATGAATGGAAGATATCTTTGAAAGGATTATCTCTTTGAATGCGGATAGTTTTCCTCTGACTGATCTGGGAACAGATAAAAATTTGTTAGTTTAGTCCAGGTTTCCAATTTGTGCTGCACAAAATAAATTTGTATTGCAAAAATTCAATCGTTTGCCGGAAACATTTATTTCCTGTTCATCCCCATTTACATCTTTTCATGAAATGATAAATGTTGTTAAAATTAATGTCGAGGGAGAAGGCTGCCATTAGCGCTATTAGATATTCAGTGGAGCTATTATTGTTTATTCTATATTCACGAAAAATACTTCCCCTTAGTAATTTAATGTTATTATTAAAGTTTTTTTTTTCAATGCACCATGATTTGTATTGCAGAAAACAAATGCGTCGTGATTTTAAAAAATTGCTGAACTTTTGTTGTCTTCTTACAAGAAAGACTGAAATATTCTCATGTTTTCTTTGAAAAAGCTCAATGTTAGGATAGCATTCCAATTTTGGCTTCATATCATACATAATATGATCCATATAACATCTCTCTATATTGCATCTGTTTGCAGTTGTTTGAAGTAGGAAATGGTCATGGAAATATTATTTCATATACATGCCACTGGATTACATTTGATATTAATATGTCATTATACAAACTGTTTGTCGCTTGTCCAAAGATGCACTCTGTTTTGTCACACATGCTTTTTCTGGTAATATTCTTGTTTTCAAATATAATATGATATGTGTAACATAATTTTTACCACAAGTCATCTTCATCGATTAAAATTAAATATAGAGAATATTATAATATTCATATTAGTCAGGAGCAGTATTTGTCATAGTTGCAAATTTGCAAATTCATATAAGTCATTTAATTTTCACACATTTGACAAGCTGGTACTCTTTTTCATACCATAATGAAAAATTCTTCATTACCCTTCAGTACATGGATATTGGAGAAAATCTTCTGGTGCCCGATGTATTCTCTGAAGATGAAATAGTAACTGGAAGATGGTGGAAACTTCTCGTATCTGGCGGAGTTGCTGGAGCTGTATCTCGTACTTGTACTGCCCCTCTTGACAGACTCAAAGTTCTGATGCAGGTATACTATTCATTATTAGTACTATTTAATTTACGTAACGTAGTTGGTGGCAGTGGTTGATATATTGAAAGAAGAATATCCGAACAAAAGCTAATAAAATCTGAAAATAGTGATACTTTTTTTGATATATGCATTAGTATGAAATTATGGCCGTACTCGTAGTACTTTAAATCAATGTTTTGATGACTCTTTACTACCCCTTGAAAGCGTAAAATTGTATGTTATTGTGGTACTGGTAGGCTACTTATTATTTAGTTATTGTCAAACTTGATCTTTTACCCTGTTATGCTTGATTTTCAGAGGTATCTAATTGATTTTCTGCCAATAGGTCCATGCATCGAAGACGAACGAGCTGGGCATCAAATCTGGTTTCAATGCATTGTTGAACGAAGGAGGTGCTAGGGGATTGTGGCGAGGAAATGGCATCAATGTTATAAAAGTGCGATATTTCTATTTTCAATTTCGTTCTTTAAATAGCCTAATAAGACAATATGTCCATGCCTGTTTTTACTTATATTTAGTACTAATACTTCAGGCAATTTTGCAGTATTCTACCAGTTATTAAAGGTAGAAATATATTTAAATACCTACCAAATACCGGCAAGTTTTTATGTATCAAAATGTGGCAGTAACTGTATAAAATAAAACATAATGAATACAGATATCTGCACATGGCTTTGTGGCCAATACACTGTTGTGTGATATGCCCCTCACTAGTACAACAGCAATTTAGGATGGCTATATGGTAATTAGACAATATACATGTAAATGCATGTACACAAATATAACCTCATCACAAATAGACATCGAAGAGATAGCACAACAATAATATGTGCGAAAGTCAGGTAATAATAGCTGCATCTCCTAGGTGTACATAAGTGCAATTGGGATATAGTGTTTACAGCACAATCCCAACTATATTTATACAGTTTGATAAATTCCAACTTTATTCTTTTGCAGATTGCACCCGAATCAGCCATCAAGTTTTTTGCTTTTGAGAGGTTGAAAAATATAGTGAATGGTGGATCTGAACACGAAATGGGAATGCGGCATCGTTTCGTTGCAGGATCACTTGCAGGGGCCATTTCCCAAACTTGCATTTATCCCATGGAAGTGAGTGATGTCTATGAACTTATCTCTTGATATTATATCAAGCATCAGTGAACATTTGCATCCATGCTTGACACACCTACAGTTTATCTTACACCTACCTTACTATATTCCAGGTTATCAAAACACGTCTTGCTCTTCGAAAGACTGGACAATATCGAGGCATTGTTGATTGTGCCATGAAAATTTATGCAAATGAAGGACCTCGTGCTTTTTTCAAAGGCTATGTACCCAATTTACTTGGGATTTTACCATATGCTGGAATTGACCTATGCATATATGAGGTGAATTATGTTTCAAAAGTTATTTCATTTTATCTCATTCTCAACCTCGCTTTAACAGGAAAGTTTATTTATTATTATGACCTATAAAATGGAAGATTGGTATTTAAAAAATTGTATCCAAACATTAACTCATGGGTACCAAATTATTTTACCAAAATTGAAAATGTTGGTACTCCTGAAGACTGAAGTATGTGAACCAAGATGACGGACACCGCAACGTAGTATGTGTACCAGGTTAGGGTTCTCCATAATTTCTGGTGCAAATAATACGGGAGTCACATGGCTAGTCCCCGAACTTGTAATAGAACTGAAAAAAGGGAAAATTGAAATAAAATTATAGTCACATACTACATACACATACTACATTCCGGTGTCGGCCATCTTGGTTCACATACTTCAGGAGTACCGAAACATTTATAAATTCAGGTGATTATGACTTACGTTCGTACCATTGTCAAGGTCAAGGCTTATGTGGTTGTTTGATAACAATTTCTTTTCCCACTTTCATTGTAAATTCTTAGTCATAACTCATAATTAGATAACTTTTTGTACAGACAATTCGAAATTACTGGGTAAAACACCACTCTACTGACAGTCATGCACCATCGGTACTGTTACTTCTCGCTTGTGGTACAACATCAAGCACATGTGGACAACTAGCTAGTTATCCACTTGCTCTTATCAGAACAAAAATGCAAGCAGCAAAAGGTATGCTTTTCTTCATTGCATTAGTATTAGTAAACACTGGATATGTAAGCCCCAGATTTTTGAATGAATAGCTTAAATCAAGCAAATGAAAAATGCATCATTTATATTCATGAGTTGTATGACTCGCATCTGTCAAATATTTCGTAAAAAGGCTTCAACAAAAATATTTTCGTATTAGACACAATTTAGACCAGTGGTTCCCATACGATTTAATATGGTCCGCCGAACTTGAGTGAAATAGTTTAGCACTTTGTTTTTACCTTTTTTACGACCTAGATATCCCCAATTGTTACTTCATTACCACAGGTTAAGCACGTATATTCGTAACAATTCAATTACACCCATACCTTGATAATACGTAACAGTGTGGGCCATTCCAAGCAAAAGTTGAATTTCATCAATTTTTTAAAAAGTGCTGTAAAAGTAATTTTTTTGTATTTTTTATATTAAAAGAAATTTGAATTTTATTTAACTGCATTCATTTCATGAAAAAAGTTAAAATTTCACTCAAATTTTTGATGGTGTACACAAAATGGCCAAAAATGTAGAAATTTGATATATTTGACATTTTTTCTGATGAATCGTAACAAAAAGTGTTTGATTGTTTGGTACAGTTAATTCATTTCAAAAAGATGAACTGGACATAAGTTAATGAAGATTAAGTGTTTACAATGCTGTAGGACATGTCTGTACCTATTTAACAATTTATTGTTAGAATTGTAAGAGATGATAGAGGCCGCTGTTCCGAAGTGGAAAAATGTCTAGTAGTGTCACGTCCTGTAGAGTCACTTACAATGTGCACATTTTCGTCATGAATCTACAGTGTAACATTGAGTAACTTGAGTGGCACATAGAGGCAGGGGCGTAGCCAGGGGGGGGGGTCGGAACCCCCCCTTTTGGAATGTGAAAAAAGTGACTTGCAACATGAACAATAAGCGCAGAAATCTTAATGGCTCCGTAGCCGAGCTGCTATGAACCAACTAATAAACATCGAAGCTAAATTTGGCTTTATTTGCATTATATAACATGGTAGTACAGTGCGAAAAGAATTGCAGGAAAGAAATGATACAATGTGAACCAAAAATAATTCACGATTTTACAAGGTCCAAAAATGAGGTATATTTACAATATAACCTTTAAACGCCGAGCTTTCCACCGCATAAACGCCAGAATAACTTTTTCTGTTGGAACTTCAATTTCCCGACGCATCAGAAGCAGGGCTAAACCATTCAGCCGGGTTTCCATAGTGGTGTTCCGCAAATATGTTTTCAAACCATGTAGCTGTGAAAACGATCTTTCGGCAGATGCAGTTGTGACCGGAAGTGTCATTCTTTAGAATTCCTGTGCGTTTGAGACTATTAGAGAAAAAATTAACGACGTCTCTTATACTCCGCACTGTTCGTTTCAACCCTTCGCCTCCACACGTGTGAGATAGCACCAGGTTCAACGAGTGCGAGCAGCAGTGAGTGTAACACGCTTTTGGGTAGGCTTGTTGAACAACGGCCTGCACTCCCCGAAAACAGCCTGACATGTTGGCGGCGCCGTCATATCCCTGGCCTACGATGTTACGCAGCTCCAAGCCCCAGCTCGTAAGCGTCGACATCAGCAATTCTGCTAGAGCTTGGCCGGACAAATCGACGGCTTCGACGAATCCGAGAAAATCCTCTCGGAGGGTGCAGATACCGTGCTCATTCTGAACGTATCTCGCACAGATGGAAAATTGCTCAATACGCCCGATATCACTCGTTTCATCAGCAAGCACGGCGAAATACTTGCTTTTCGCCGCACAGTGTGATGATCTCATTTTGAATCTGTGGGCTCGTGTACAAGGCATTTAGAGGAGCATTCTGAACATAATTCAACTAATCTTGATCGCCGAAGGAAATTCTAAATCGCAATAGCGCACGGAAATTTCCTTCGTTCATTTCGGTTTCAAAATTTGTTGGATTCGACAAAACTCCATGGTCTATGTGACCTCTTAAAGCTATATTTTGACGTCCACAGAATTTGACAACGTTAATTATTGATGCGAGTGCCCGTCTGTTCCCATCCGCTTGCAGAGTTCATTTGTTCGACGACATTTCCGGTAGTGTGAGTTTTACAAAAATTTTCGGCATGTAATTGTGCTGTGATATGGTAAGTTCTACTGGCGTGCTTCAATAAATCCTCAAGTGCACTTTTCAAGTTTCGCATAGGCTCGTTAACAAGCTTCAACAATTTTGACCCTCCGCCTACATCAGGAGCAAAGATCAAGCACGATTTGCAAAAAGCGCCATCTTCGTCCGGGCTGTATGCCAGCCATTTGAATTTCTCCAGCCACGCTCGCTGAAAAGACAGATGAAAAGTCTTTCCACTGACCGTTCGGACATGCTTTGGAAAGACGAAATCTTTGCTTGGGACCCAATGGTTGGTCAAATAGTCGTACTTCATTTGATCATCGACATTTGATCCACGCATATAATCACCGATATCCAAGTGAAATTTCATCTTTTTCAACTTTGGTTTGCAGTCGTTTGTTGAAGTGCGATTCACTTCTTTGGACATCGACTCGTATGTGAATGTTGGAAGAGCATCTTTCACTACGGAAGGAGGTGCCTGTCCTTGGTCATCGCTTCCCCCTGGTCTTGTAAAATATGAAGCTATCGATTTCTGTTTTTTACTCATTTTCAGAAGACACCGCTGCGCGCTACGCTGCTCCTAACGTCAATCTGTCTTACTGATGCCGTACCGGTACTCGCGAAACGCCGCTTGTGGTCTAACGTAGAAGAGACGTGATTGTGACCGAATAATGCGATTTATTCAGTTCGCATTTCCGTTTGTAGCACTTTTTGCTGTCGAATCCTGACATATTCAGTCTAAATTTCTAAAAACATTCTTCTGTGTCATACATTGCACCTTTTCGTGGCTTGGAACGCTTTTTGGAATATCAATTTACTTGAAAACTCGCGTTTTCCGGCCTCTGTCCAGATAACCTGGCAATTAGAAATTTCAGAACCCCCCCCCCCTTTGAAAATTCCTGGCTACGCCCCTGCATAGAGGGGTCCTTCAGTTACTTCACCAGAAAATATTGAGGGCTCCCGCTGTACCAGCGCGAAAATTTACAACACAACACAATGAAATGTTAATGCATGGTGGATTTGCTGTCCTGTGGAGTCACGCTATATTTTAAGACATATTTTATATCCACCAAGTAAGTCTTGTGTGTAACTTTTGTGCAATTTTGTTCAAACACCATAAAGCAACTGATTGGACAATGAAACAAAACATGTGGCAAAAATGTAAAAATATATTGCATCTAACAACATGCAAAATTTCTGGAATTGTCCTGTAGAGTCACTTGGAATGGCTCATATAAGCATCGGCGCGTTGCGGGCACTCCCCTCTCCCGGCCTGCGAATACCGTTTCACTTCTAATTTTGGCCCTCGGTCAATTAACTTTGGGAACCACTGATTTAGACCAATAGATTGTTTTGCGAAATTGTTGTTCATTTTGATTTTCATTCTGTGTAATTTCAAAAAATGCCTTTCGACCCAATTAATTAAATTTTCATTATTCAACATTGATTGAGTCACCAGAAGGCGAGATACATAGATTCTCAAAATCTGGTATGCTTTAATTTAAGCCCATATTTATATAATTTAGTCTACTCTGAAATTTATAAACAAAAATCTTGATCGGTTTAATATTCAATTTAAAGATATGGTTTTTGTGTTGATTCATCAGTAACACTGCAGGGTAGAGTATCATGGTTGATCTGAACTCAAAACCCACTTATATTTAAAAATTTATTTTTCTGTAGGACATTTAGGGTTGTTAAATACTCAATAATCTCATTGTTATTGGTTCTGGAAATTAGTTAGATTGGTATGACAGAAATAGGTTTCCAAATTTTTAATTTTTTCAGCTTCATCTAATTCAGTGAATAGACCGACAATGTTCTCTCTTGCTAAGTCAATTTTTAACAATGAAGGATTTGCGGGATTTTACAGAGGAATTGGACCAAATTTTTTAAAGGTAAAAATTGCAACAATCAAAATATTTTGTATGTCTCTTTGTCATGTATGGGATATAAAAAAGCCATACATTAGACATTGGTAATGGTATACTATTCTATTGTTGTTTTTATTGTGATTTTTGAGGCAAATTGCCGGTGCAGTTTTGAGGATTATACATAAAATTTACTCTTATGCCGCAGCCATGGTTGGGTTGTTACTATCAACATGTCGGAAATGGTAAGATATAATAATAGAATAATAATAACTAGACAAAAGTAGATCATTATTATTATAGTTTCCCTTTTGAATTGACAACTACACTATTTTAGTTTGTAACCGATATTCATAATAATGTATAATAATAGATATAATAATAATGTGTGTTCCATGGGGGGACGACTTCCACATGATAGGTAGAATCATAGTATTTTGCATTGTTGTAATTGATCAAGTTTATTTGTGCTCTAGGTCGCTCCTGCAGTCAGCATCAGTTATGTTGTTTATGAAAATATGAAGCAGGAGTTAGGGATAGCAAGAGATCCGTGATACACAGCATCAAAACATCACACATTCCTAGCTGAAATTGAAGGGATGCAACGGAAAAGGCTAACATTTGCTACTGGATGAGGTCAAGCAAGAAAAGTACAAACGTATTGATGTGGAAGTACTGGCATATCAAAATCTTTTCTTCATCTATACCATATAGAGTGCTTCAAGACCCACTGTTTAAACCTTGTAGATGAATGTAGAGCAATATGTTGGCAGTATTGTAAAATCAGGATTAATATGAAATGCGGTTGCTCAAAATCCTCAATCAAACTGCAATAAATATTCTGTTTCTTTTAACATTTACACTTCAAGCTTGGGCTGCTACTGAATTTGGAAGCTGTGAGTAATGGGTCTGTGAGCCAGCTTTTTAATGTACTACTTTAATGAATATCCAACAAGTCCCTAATCTCAAGTATGACCATTTTATTTGGGACTGATGAGCCTTGTCATGCAGTTGCTTTTTCTCCACTGTCATATTGTTAAGGTCATCATATTAACATATTGTGAATCTGTTAAAATGATTTTTATGTGTTTCCACACCTTCATACAAAACAAGGCTTCAGGCCAGTGGGCTAACCCAGTCGAACATCTACGCTATTATGCAAGCTTTTGTTGAACCTTAATTTTTCAAGTTTGGGAAACTCCAAGTAAATCCATGGACTATCGTTATGCTATATCTGGGTGCAATGAATACTGTCAAAATAAAGGATTAACTGCGCTGAAAAACTGGTATACCGGTATTTGTTAACTAACTAAAAGATCAGATCCAACCCCATTTTGTGATGTAAATTTTCATATTCATCTTGGGAGGAGGAGAAAGTAGTTAGATAATTCAATCATACGACGAAACACAGCCTATTGTCCGGTTGCCAGTCCTGATCGGGTATGCAACAAGTAGTTAATCAATCTACCAGTTCAACATCCCTCGTGCATGGATTCGGACAGTGGAGGAAGGGCAGGTTTGCACGGGGTCCACTAATTCTCTCGCACATTGTTATCTTCCACAAGTTTCAAAATTGCCAATCCACATGTGGTAATCAGCTTATTGATATTAAATCATATATCTGTACCCAGTGTGATGCGCTAAACATTAGGTTGTCTACGATAAGAACCGAGTTTGAAGCCCACTAAAGGGTGAAATCATAAAAAGCAATAAAATAAATGGTGTAATCTGGGCTAAGAATAAGAAGCTCTACGATGGATCGGGGTGTCTCAATCAGAAAAATTATAAAAATGTATGTTGTGATCAGCCTGCATCAAGAAATTCTTATTTGTTGTATTCATTCTTGTGCTATTTTATTATTGTATCAACTTCTTTGTTTTATAATATTTAGTACAAAATTCTTTAGGAAATTCTATTTATTCTTATTGTTTATTTATCGCAATGGCGTGGTGATATATTGTTAAGTTGGTGTATGTATCTATGATGGAATATTCATTGGCATGGTACTAGCACTCAAGCCACAGACCGGGCTTCTTTTTTATTTTTTGATGTTAATGGAAAGGTCTTTATTATTTATGTGTCGAATTTGTGTTCTTTGTGATTGAGATTTGGTTTCTTGATGTTGTGAAATTAATGTACTGCCGTAAGTTTGATTCCATTCCTTGGCTGTTGTTGAAACAATTATTGATCCTTTATCATTACTTCAATGATCTCTGGCAATTAGTTATTTTGTGTAGAACCCATGCAGAAATTTTGCACAGTTTTGAGTCTGATTTTTCTTTAACATATATCTGAGTAACTGTAGTCCTATTTTTCATCAATTATATTATTGACCCTAATGTTTGTTTTGAAAAGTTGACTGTGAAGTGAGAAGTCATGTAGTAAGTTTTGCATTATATATGAAGAACCGAAAAGAGTTAACAAGGCTCTGCCAGGAATTATCTTGGCATTAAAACAGGGTGGGAAAGAGTGTTCCATTCAGAGATATTTATATTTGTTACTCCGCTTTCAAATGCATTCAAGTCACTGCCATACAGCATGTGAGCGTTTATTTAATTCCATGTATTCCGTTTCACTAATGACGTTCTTCATTTCGCATTGAGGATGCTCAGCCATTCGAAGTTTGATAGATAGAAAGAATGAACTGCAAACAATGTCCAAAAAGGAACGGGTGTCCAAAACGAAAATAATCACCTAAAATAGACTACATAGTAATAGTATACGCTAATATTGAATGAGCATATATCGTTATTCCATTAGAAGACCTTACATATTTGACGGCGGTCGCCGCATTACGGATATACCGAAACTACCATGATAGACAGACTCCTGCATGGTAACAGGAATGACAACACACAGTCCAGAAACTCAGGAAAGTGGCCAAAACTTTAATAGGGGTTTAAAAGTCTACATTACAGCACAATATAGCCAATGTCACATTGCAAAAACAAGTTATTACTGTGTGTGATTCATAGACTTCGCAGGGCGGTTCACGCAACAGTAATTCACAAAGTCGATAAGATCTCAGTCTGCATACGAATCCATAGTTTTTTTTCTAAATACGGTACCGTATGCAATCTGCCCTATAGCAGTATGTGGATATAGGTAACTCTTTGAACCGGGCGGTTTGAAATATGCAACGAATACCGTATCTCACCTAGGCCTGTAAGTTTATGTTGCTTAGTTGTGTTTTTTAATTACGACTACAAGGCTATTCATACTATCAGAAAATAGAGTACAGTAATGGTCTAATGGATACTTCTTCACAAAATATCACATATTTTTTCGGTGTGTTTTTATTGTATTTCCCCATCTTTTTTTAGAAGTGTTTCCATGGTCAGTTTTTTAGAACGCGTTGCAGAATAGATAGATAAATATATACTGTTAAGTCACGTTTGTTGTATCTTCAGGCATGATAACGAACGTTCGCGTTCAATTTCTAAAAAGTGTGCAGTTTTGACGTTTACAGAGTCGTAACAATTTATTTTGTTGTGTCCATCTTTTTCGCTACTTTGCTTAAAAGCTGTTTGTTTGTGGGTAAATACACAACTGTTCTGGATGTTTGAGTATATTATAGATATAACATAGACATCATAGATCGCAGCACTTAACAGCTAGCAGCGCAAGCAGAGAGAGAGCTAGCAAGCAAGGTCAAAGGTAACAAGTATAGCATTAATAATGACGTCATAAATATCATCTTACATCCCCTTTTCTTTAAACAAATATCAACCCATGAAATACAACACTAATGCTAATGCACATAATAGCAATGCCAACTGGAAAGTTCAAATCTCATTTACAACAATTTGTCATCAATCAGCAAAGCTACAAAATGCAATATTCACTTCACAAAATCACTAGAGAAATATCTTGGATTTGGCCTTATTCTCCTTCCACTTCTAGTAAAAGTCATACTGGGCACAAAATTAGAACTTCCATTAACAATATTAGATTGACTTGGATCATCAGTATTTAAATCAGATAAATTAGAATAATCGATATCTTCTTCTGTTCGAGGATAGTAAGATTCATTTGCTTTAAGAATATGTCTTCGATTGCGACGATATCTTCTTCCATCAGACTCAGCAATGTAAGATCTTGGTAAGTGATGATTCTGGCATATGATACCTTTCTTGTCATATCCTTTTTTAGTTTGCATTCTAACTATATCACCAGTGTTCAAATTAGGTAGCAGTTTTGAAGACTTGTCAAAATATTTCTTTTGTTGGCTTCTTTTGTGCAGCAATTGATCGTGCACTTCTTTTGGATTTCTCATTTCAGGATTCAACAAATTATTTGATATAGGTATGTCACCTTTTGTTCGACGTGATAATAAACGTTGTGCAGAAGAACCAAGTATTTTATCTCTAGGCACATTTCGAATATTTAATAGAGCAAGGTAAGGATCAGATCGATCTCGTCTGCATTTCTCCAATAAATTTTTAGATTGTTTCACAGCATTTTCAGCTAGTCCATTGCTTTGAGGAAATTCAGGACTACTCATAACATGTTTGAATTGTCATTCTCTAGCAAATTCTTTGAAAAAAAGCGACGAATATTGGGGACCACCATCGCTGAACGGTACATCATCTTACAAAAGCTGGGCGCGCAGTGTTCGCATCTGGTTAAATCTAAGGAGAACCCGTTACGAATGCTAAATACGGTAGCTTTCTGGCGTTTTATTCGAATCATATTCCGTTATACCTTGCATGTTTGTTAATCTTTCCATTAATCAAGGAAATATTGCTAGGATGGCGCTAAGATTTAGTAGCAGTTTTTGATATATATCCTATGTTCATTTTTAAATTAGAAAGTTTGTTAGGCAGTTATAACCGACCCCGTGTCGGAAATGACGCAAAACGGTCTCTAAACCACAAAATCATTCGACTTTGACTGTGTATACACACTACCGTGCTACCACGTTACCTCACCATCATTTTAATTAAACCCGCGTCCGTAAGAAAATAATGTTCATTTTTGTTGACGCATAAAACGTAATCATATATAAAATTGTCCCAATTGTTTCTCGTGTCCCAATTGCCCCACGAGTCCACTTGTCCTATGTGTCCCATGGGAAATACGATGGTTTGCTGTCCCATCCCATTCCACGGGAATCCCATTCTCATAGAAAAGCCTGGTAATCCTTTAATGTTTAAAAGCTATACAGTGTATGGCATCCATGTAGTAATGGTAGTTTTTTTGTTAAATTCATTAAACGGTTAGCACGTCAACTCTCACGTCACGTGAAACATACAGTTCATTTCGTTAATTGCTTTTATATGAGGGTGCCCTCTTCGCACTCGAAACCCTTTTTGCAAACTCAATGAGGACTTATAAAGTCGGTAGTTTGAACTTCCACAACTGGCAACTTCCCGCGATAGCAGTGATTGGGCGTCGAAATTGGGCAAGGAAATTTTCCGTTTTTGGTTGAGTTTCCGATAGCTCAACCTTCATGGGATACATCCAGTCTGTTTCAATATTTTCTTTTAATGTGGGAATGCTGCCTCGTACCCGTAGGTTTGGTATGTCCCCAAGTCATAGACACATTTCTGCCTAGGTCACAGTGCGCCATTATGACGTCACATCACTGCGTCATACATATTAACTCAAATCCGGCTACGATCAAAAAATTGAACCATGTCAAATTATTGACTCTCAATGGCATAACAATATCATTAGGAAGTTTTTTACGTTTATCTCAAAACTGCTAAAAATGACTTAGGCAATTCGGTTATTAGCGTGACGATATGATAATTGGGTTACACACGAAAATAACAGGGTCCTGTTTCTTGATGTAGTTGTGTGCCTTCGACGCTAAAAGTGAACTGGAACATTGTTGATGTTTTAAACAATGAATGAATATTATATCTAATTACTTTCAAGTATCCCACGCCACCCATTAAAATAAATAGGCCGAGATATAATATTTTTGATTTATATGTTTTTAAATTTGGTGACTAATTAATTCATTTATAACAGGGGTGTGCAACATTTTTTGTCTGCGGGGCCATATAATCAACTTCATACATCTGGCTGGGCCACACACACAAAAAAAAGTTTTTTCGTGTACACAAGAAATTAAAAAATTAGCGACAACCAAAGTGCCGCGGAAAATGCAAGAGAAGAGAATGCGGCTATCGCTTAGCCTTCCAATAATTAGGCACATGGCAAACGGCGAACGATTTACCGCAGCGGCATGATCAATATGTATTTTCACCCATGTGAGCGCCTCCTCCAACATGAACTGTCGGATTAGGATTTTATGCTGGATTGGGGGAAAACCTGAGTGTTGACAGTGCCACACTAAATGGCTTGGCGGGCCGGATTGGTTCCAGTAACTGCGAAACGTATGTGTAATCGTTTGTCAGTTTTGCTGTCGCATCGACAATTTGCATTCGGTCGATTCTCTTATGTGTTCGAATCATTAGGTTCGAAAGCTCATTGGCCACTCGATCAATACCGATTGGGCTAAACATTTTGCAAAGAAAGAAACGATATCTATTATAAGGTTGGTTAACAATACTCACGAGTCACGACGGTGAGTACTATGTACAATTTGCGAATATTTACTTGTTATACTTTATAATAAATTTTATTGAAATAGGTTATACTTTGTATTCACATTGATCTGTTACGATGGAGAATACTTCACCTTCTATGCACAGTTGAAATCACAATATATTGATTTCTGACGGGGTCAACAATATGACCAACAATAGTACGTTTTAATAATTTCGAAATTTGAAGTATCATGTTAATAAATATAAGTACATAATAACCAGTGTGCCTAAAAGTCTCTTTTCAAGAAAAAAATTAACGCTTTTATAATATATAAAGGGGGGATTTCATGCGATTACAGTCAGCTTTGACCAACACGGGCAATTGCTATAGTGAGAATTTTTCAATTAGTCAGTGTGAGGCGATAACTTTTGAAAAGACGATCATTTATCTATACATTGAATCACGATCTCACTTGAAATCAATATAACCGCTCGTATAAAATCTTGTTTATAGCAATTCAAACCATAAAGAAAGAATATATACTATAATACGATAAACTGTATAAAGAACGTATGGTTTTCGATATTCTACCACATGTAAACCAGTGGTTCTCAACCGCTGGTCCGCGGAGAAGTACCGGTCCGGTAGCTTTTTTGCCGGTCCGCGAAAAATTTCGTTCCGTTGTTTTTCAGCCGTCTCAATCCCCTAACCAAAGACGAACACACGTTGGGTAATAACGTAATTTTTGTTCCGTCGCCATATTGCTGTTATAAATGGCCCGGCGATGTCTTGGCGCCGAGTAGTCGCACTTTTCGCTTTTTCGGTTCCGATTCATCGC